TGATCCCTGGACATCCTTAAGCTATGACCCAGGTTTTCTTCTTTTCAGACAGGTTCTCAGTCAAAAGGTTGCCTAGTCTGGGCTCAAATTTATGATCTTCCTACCTCAGCCTCCCAGGACATTACTAGTATCGAGTGACAAGGGATTTCCCCTAACCTTGAATCTACTGCAGGCCAGAGCTTCCCACCTTCACCATGAATGAAGAGCAGATTTTTAGTTACAAAAACCTCAGCCTCAAGAGAAACCTAAACAGCAGCACAACATGGTGTACATGTCCACAATCCCAGCACGTGGGGAGGCTGACGCAGGATTGGAAGGCTGAGAAAATACTAGGCTATACTAGTATGACCCTATCTCAAACCTTAATTTTTTTTTAAAAAAAAGGGGGAGGTGGCGCGAGGGAAACACCTTGGCAGTCTGAGCAGCTGCCTGGCGAGCACAAAGACCTGGGTTCAATCCCTAGTACCACCTACTGTGCCAGCCCCAGAACCCTGGGCGTGCTAAACTGGCCACCAAAGCCGGGCCTGCTGGTGCACGCCTGTAATCCCAGTGCTGGGGAGGCTGAGACAGGAGGATCACTAGGAGTCCGAAATGGGGAGTGAGACCCTCTACCAAATAAAGGTTCAAAAAGGTTTTTAAAAGCCCTTAAAAAAAAAAAGAGTCAGCTTAAATCAGAGGAAAAATGATTATCCTCTCAGACAAGTACCGTTATTTCACCATGAACTTCGGTACTCCTTTTGCTAGCTTATGTCATCCTCAGACCATCCTGGAACACGCTTGTGGGGTACCTCCGGGATCGCACAGGGCAGGCGCCGGCCCCTGCGTCCGCGTCCTCTCTCCAGCACTCTTAGGCCACTCAGGCCACTGCTGGGAAGAGCCAGGCCAGCGCCAGGCCTGGTGCTGATGGCGGGAGGCGGCGCTGAACCAGCCGTCACACGGCTCCGCTTCTCTGACAGTGCTTTATTTTTCTAACAGTGCTTTATTCCGATTCTTTTGGTATATGTGAATATCACAGAGCATGTATACCCAGCATCCTGGACTCCCTAGAAGGGCCCCGTCATCGGCCCGATCCTGACAGCCCCAGCCTGCAAGTCTGAAGCGTCCGATAGGTCTAAAGTGCATTCTGGCCGCTGGTCAACAGCAGCGTTGGGGAAACATTCAGACAAGAGCTGGGAAAGACAATAAAACGTGAGGTGTGTTCCAGATCGAATACATTCCTTAATTACCAAGCTGAATACCTGCTTAAAACACCAGAGTTGGAAGTATACAAAAATATACAAAAATCATTACAAAAATAGTTCATATACATATATATAAAAGGAGGAGGAACTCCTCTGTTATTAATATTAAATACAGCAAGATCTAAAAAGCACAAGGCCTCTGAGTCCTAGATGTGGCCCGTGGAGCCCGTTCCAGGCCAGTGTAGGTGTTGCTGCGGGCCACGACACTACACGATGAGCCAGGAGAGCGCGTCTGCTTGGCACTGGAGACACCAAGACAAACGACACTGTTTTGCTGCTCGGACTGTAAGTTCACGGTTTCTTGCGCCTGAAACAGGAAAAACCCACATTTAGTATTGAGTTTAACCCCTAGCGACACAATCATCACAAACCCGGAGAGACTGGAAAATTGCCATTTTCTTGGACAGCTGAGGTAGGACGGTGGTTATGTTCAGCGCGAGCCTGGGCCGCACAGGCAGTCTCAAAAACTAGAAAGACAGGGAGAACTAAGGTGTTCCAGGGAGCAGGACTTTCCATCCTTACTTGTTCTAACAATTTCCCAAATTGCCTGAGGAATGCAAGTGTTCAAAAACTGTAGTTAGCCAGGAGTAGTGGTGTACACATGCCTGTAATCCCAGCCCTAGGGAGGCTGACACAGGATGATTGCCACAAGTTCGAAGCCAGCCCCAACTACACAGGAAAACCCTGTCTCAAAAAATAAAAAATGGGGTCTGGTGAGATAGCTTAGTGGACTAAAGAGCCTGCTTAGGCAAGCTCGGGGACTGGGGTTTGATCCCTGGCATCACATACCGCACCAGCCCCACCCCCAGGGTGGACTGAGCTGCCACCGAGACCAGGCGTGGTGGTGCACACCTATAATCCCAGTGCTGGGGAGGCTGAAAGCAGGAGGATCACCACAAGTGTGAGCTGCATGGTGAGACCCTGCAACAACCAAATACAAAAAAAAAAAAGAAGAAATAAAAAAGGAATATTAGAGATATTTGTAAAGAAGGAATTTACCATAGTACAGAAAAATAAGAGACTCTAGGAGTTTAATAGAAGAAAAGGCGCAGGTCCTTTCTACAGTGAGCTCTGACGGCTGGTTTCATTCATGTGCTGAGCAAACACTGCCTCCTATATCTAGCCCAGGAGGAAAGAACCCCTGAAGCGGCACCCCAGCTCCACCTTTCGGCCCTGCGTTCAGCTTGCGGACCGCTGGCGGAACACAACAGGGCCGCCAGTCTCCCATCCCCTGCAGCTCCAATGGCCCCACCAGCCCCATGAGCTTCCCAACACTGTGGGTGCCGCGAAGCTCTGCAAGCCGGGCCCACACATCCTGCAGGGCTGAATCTGTCCCTGAGAACTAGGAGTGGGGGGGGCGCCAGCCCGGGGGAGGGACTCACTTGGGTTGTGCATGGTGCTGGTATCCTGGTCCCAGCTGAGAGCCCGCTCGCATCTCCACGGCCATGGAGCACTGTGGAGACAGACAGGACGAGTCAGCTCCTCCCCACTGAGCCCTTCTAGGACAGGGGCTTGAGAAGGTGGAGGCTAAGGTGAGGTCGGCACGGCTCTCCAGCGTGGTGAAGGCACCACGCTAAACCTCCAGCCAGGCACCTGCTCTGGCGCAGTCCACCACTGGGACCAGAAGGGCCACGGCGGTCATCCTAGGAACCTCTCTTTCGGTACTAAGGGTGGGCACTCCAGAAGTGGGCAGCCAGGGCCTGAGCACGGCCTCTGGACGGCACTCACTCTCTCCCTACAAGCCCTGCACCCCCGCATCTATAACTCCACCCTGCTGTTGTCACTCCTATGACCTGTGGCTCCATTCTTGGGCCCTGTCCTGCACACTGAGGACAGGGGCTCTGCCCTGAGGAGCCCTAGCAAAGCACAGACGCTTCCTAACATAGGCACAGGCCCCAGGCTGCACTGGTGCCAAGAGACGGGCCTCGGCATCTTCACAGGTCAGAAGAGCTGGGCATGGTGGCGCACACCTGTAATCCCAGCACTCGGGATGGCTAGCCCGGGCTACCTCACGAGTTCAAAGCCAGCCTGGGCTACACAGCAAGACCCTGTTCCCCACCCCCCACCCCCAAAAAATCAGGAACTGCTATAGTGGTGAAGTGGAAAGCCTGACACATCTCCTCCTGAGTAAGCAAAAAGGGACCAGCGAGATAGGCCAGGGGTCTAAAGCACCTGCTTAGGCAAGCGTGCAGGGAGTGCGGTTGATCCCCAGGACTACATGCTGAGCCAGCCACAAAAAAAAAAAAAAAAAAAAAAAAAAAAAAAAACCCCTCACTGAGTAAGCAAAGAGCGAGTGTTCACCCTACCCGGGTCTCTACGTCAGTGGGTTCCAACTCCATGCCATCTGCTTGTGCAGGTGCTGCTGCCGAGGAGCTTCGCTTGCGATTACTGAAAAGGGGCAACAGGACGCCATGGTTACGTGTGTGTCTCCTAACAGGGAGATGCCACGCCTGGGGACAGCCAGCTACAGCCACAGAGAGCGAACGACACGTGCCAAGGGCGTCCTGCTCCCCTTAGTGAGCAGCGAAGAGACAGGCGCCCCCAAGAGCTCACTCACCCGCCTGGCGACTGTTGTTTTAGGGTCTCAATACCAGTAAACTGCACAGCTTGTCCGCCACCCCTTGTTTTATACACATCGCCCTGAAGCCAAGAGGAAAGGCCGTGGTTATGGTGGGAAACACCCGCATAATAAACACACATGTATCATATCTTACATTCACCTCAAGATCTACCATCTTCTCCAGACTCCCACCCACAAAACCAGATGGCACGTGGGCCGCCGAGTGCACGGAATCAGCACTTTACAGCACTTTACAAGGCTGAGCTCATTTCCCACACTGACACCCCCAACTGCGGGGGAGGAGATGCTGTAAGCTTTTGTTCTACCTGTAATTGAGAAACTAAACTGCAAGCTGGGTGTGGTAACACATGGCTGTCATCCCAGCAGTTAGGAGGCTGAGGCAGGAGGATTGTGAGGTTGAGGCCAGTGTGGACTACAGCACCAGATCCTCCCTCAAACCAAAAGGGGACAGGGCAATGACAGGGAATTAAGGATCGAGAGAGAGAGCCGCCAGAGCTTTCTGTATACTCCAAGGTACTGTGCTTCCCCTCTCAGCTGCCCTCCAGCTTCAAGGCGGTCTCACTCTTAGCTATTTCTAAGCACTGCCTTCTAAACTGAACTTTAGGGTTTTGTTTTAGATGACTGTCTTATTTACCTATGGACCCTGTGATCTGAAGACAGAAACTTCTCTAGATAGTGAGTCTCTTTCCAGAGAAAGGCTTTAGGTAGCCCAATCTTGAGTAATTCTCAGGAGCCAGATTTTAATACAGTCTTTTCATCTGAACCAGCAAAGACGCAAGTGTCCAAGTTGCCAAGTTGTCCAGGCCGGGCTCCAATTTCCCACTCTCCTGCCTCAGCCTCACGATAGTGTGCCGCTGGGCCTGGCTTAGGGTTGCTTTGTTAAATACAAGCTACTAGATATACGATAAAGTACATTGGGGATCAGGGCTAAGGTGAAACCTGCACCTCTAAGCCCATCAGCAGATTCAGTCCCAATTTAGCAGATTCGCAACGTAGACAGTTAAATTTGCTGCTGAGAAAAGTTACACCAAACGCCCAGTTATGTCCCAACTGGACACGGACAGGTCATCAGAATGGCAGCAGGGGAAGGGCTCCTGGCCGAGTATTCAAAGCGTGTTTGCTCCCGTGAGCACCGTTTTTTACCTTAATGAGCTTAGTCTCAATCTCCCCATCGGAGGCTAGTTCCTGGTGGGTCAGCATGTACTTCTCACACTTAGCTAGCGCCTTTTCACTGGGAACAGACACTGTGATGGCGCGGGGCACCTGTGGCTGCATGACAGTCTCGTTGTGCACGTTAGAGGCGGGCTTATGATCTACCCATCTCTCCCCTGCAGAGCGGGATCGTCTGCGACGGACACCAATGGGCGGTGCGTTCTGATCAGGCGGGAAGAGGCATTGAGAAACAAGCACAGCCCAGAATTAATGGAGAGGCATTAGAAGTGCAGCAGGCTTGGCTACGTGAGCAGGCGACAGCAGAACAAACCCCGGCCGAGGCCAGGGGTCACTTACAAAATTGAGACCTTCTTTCCCTACTTGAATATGGAACCAACACATCGCTTTTCACACCAGCTTGTACATTATACATTCTACCTCCAAGTCTTCTTCTCTTTTCACCAAAGGATGAAAGGAGCGGTTGTGGTCATTCTAGTTCTTTAGTTCAGGTAGGGGGTGCAGCGCAAGCCATTATTTTTCATCAAAAATCAGTATTCTTGCCTGCTTATGTGAGGCAGCCTACAATCTACTGGATCAGCAAGTCAGTTGAAAACATCAGTGAGACCAATCAACGCCCTAAACATGCCCTTGGCACCTATACAGGAGAAAATAATCCTTATACTACAGAAATGATCATTTAAAGTCTAACCTTAACATTTCTTATACAAAGCGACAAAAAAAAAAGAGAGACAAAAAGAAAAAAAAAAAAAACCCATGGTGCTGCATAGTGCAAAAACGTTAAAGCTTTTTTTGTATTTATTACAGGGTCTATAGGGTCTCACTACACAGCTTGGACTCGCAGTGATTCTCCTGTTTTCAGCCTGGTCCCTGCATCTGCCTAAGCAGGTGCTTTAATCCACTGAGCTATCTGGTCAGCCCCCAAAATGCTAAAGGACATAAGTTGTAATGAAACCCCCATATGACATGATTAAAGCTATGTGAAGCACTTCTGAGCCCCTTCAGTTAATATTTTTAAGTCTCAAAACAGAACTCCAGGAAAATTCCAGGTACAACAATGACTAAAATATACCACCTCTTTCCTCCATAACTTGGTATCGGTTCTAAGACTCGAAGACTAGATTCTCTGTCATGCAGTAGCAAACTAGCTGCCTGCAGTCCAGCGCCACGGAAATCAGAGAAAGTGAAATCTGTCACTCAGCCTATGGAAAAATACTCTGCATCAGTGACAGGGTTAACAGCTTGGAGCGATTGTGTGAACATCTCCCGTTGATGAAATTAAAAGCAAACGGGAAACGTCTACCACAGGCCAAAGCCTTGCAAGCTGGTCAAGCACGAGGACCTCAGCTTCAGAATGCACCTCTGGAGGGCTCAATCTTTCTCCCCAGACCCTACAAAAAACAGATGCAACACCACTCAAATGATCCAATAAAACACAGCCAATATCATTTGCAACTAAAGATACCTGCCCCAGGGCTGGGACCGAACTGTTTCTGACACAGCCTGACCAACGATGAAAAGAAGTCTGGCCCTTGGGATGGAGCATTCACAGAGGTGAGTATTCCGGAACACGTAAGGCAATACCACCATCCTGAATCAGGCTTTGCGGCACCTTCTTCCTAACAGAAACACTAGCAGGTGTTTCCTCAATTCAGACTGCAACTCAGTCCACCTGGTTTTTGTTGATCAACAAATCTGGACATAGGATACCAACCTTAGGTAACTTCTGCTGCACTTCTTTTTTTTTTTTTTTTTTTTTTTTTTTCCAGAACCGGGGATTGAACTCAGGCCCTTGCACTTGCCAGGGAAGCGCTTATTCCACTGAGCCATCTCCCCAGCCCTTCTGCTGCACTTCTAAGAGGCTTTTGATTTCCAGGGGGAAGTTAAAGCGCCTCTAGTAAATCCTCTTAAATATCTCAGGGCCAAATTAGGCATTTCATTACTCCTGACTAGGCCTAGCCAGGCCTTGAACAGTTTTCAGGCTGCATATGGCCACAAAATAAGGGGATTTACTAGAGTTGATCAGAAAGGACCATTCACCATGATTTGCTCCCTAAAAAGGTTTAAAGCAATCGTCTTTATTTTGGTACCAGGAATCAAACTCAGGACCTTGCGCTTGCCAGGCAGGTGCTGTGCCGCTGAGCTGTATCCCTGACCCCAGGCAATTTTGCAAAGTAAGAACTTAAGAGATTCAGAAGCATCTATTGATAGGTACCTTGGAATTCATCGTTGTTTTAGTAATGACTAATCAGGACACCTAAGTTAAAATCTAAAACAAATATTTACTAAAAGATCAATGTGCTCAGAAAAGTTTTGCAATAGCTCTATTAAGATTTTACTAAACAGAAATGGTATGTAATTAACTTGGTCTCTTTATTTAGTAAAAGGCGAAAGATTTACGCAATCTGAAGAGAAACCAGAGTACGGTCCCTTTATTTAGATCCAAAGAAAACTACTTTAGCTTCTAAGAAAAAAATATGAAAGCAAGTTTATTTACATACCCTTAAAATCAGGCAAAGTGCTTGTAATTTGAAATAAAAGTCTCAAGATTAAAAGCAACTTTTTGGATATAGAAGCCATCGATAGTAGTTTCAAATTTACTCACTGAACTTTCCTAACAGCCAACGTCATGAAAATAACAAAATGTAGGGGGCTATTTTATATTAATAGAGTTGAATGAGACATACTTAACACATGCAGTATAGTTACCTTGAGAATATCATCAGCTCAAACAGAAGAAAAGCCAATACTGGGGCAACCCGAGAGGCTAGAAGCTATTGACTAATTCCATAGACGTGATCTGTAGGTCATGCAGGACAGGGGCCCTACTTAGACATGAAGTCTCACGAAGACCGACTGGCTTTCCAAGGATTGGGGGCGTGCTTCCGTAATGATTGGGAAATTGAGGTAAGGGGAAAAGAACGACTACCCAAGCTTTCAACTTTCTTTGGGTTTGAAATGTTTTTAGAATAGCAGCTTGAGAAAATAACTTTACAAATTAGACTTCTAACACAACAAGAAAAGGATTGTAAAAATAAGTTTGGCGAGGGGAAGGGTGGAAGGGAGATGAAATATGTGCTCTGAGACACTCACATTTGAGCTGAGAAGCTCAGGGGTAGAGTTCAGCCTTAGTGTGTGTCAGTTCCAGGCTTTAGTCCCCAGCAACAAAAAGATAAAAAAGAAGAATGAGGACACTCCTGCTGCCAATTCTGTGCAAAGCTTGCTAACCTCTGCAGCTGCAAAGTGCAGGCTGCTCCGGGCAAGCAAAACCAACCTGCATCTACTGAGCTCCCATCTGGAGCCAGATGTGTCGGGCTATTTCTCATGAGCCCAGTCTTGATTTCAGGGTGATTCAGTTTTTCAAATTAACTAACAGAAAACTCCAACCTTGTTCACAATGCAGCCCGCCCGCCTTTCCATCCACATGGGGAACCAAGTTACAAAAAAAAAAAAAAAAAATCAAAGGAGATCCGATCTACTGCTACGGGGACGCTTGGCACTGACCCTGCAGCTGGGCTCCTCCTGAACGTCCATCTCGTTCCTGGACGCAGGAACCACCTCCCTGCCTTCCGTCCAGTACATCCCTCGCCTTCTGTCTGACACGAAACAAGCTTTGCTTTGTTCGGGCTCCTGTTGCCTACGCCTCGCAATAGACGTGGCATTGCCAGGGGTGTTGTAGGCGGGAATTCTCTGCTCCCATTCCGACACACAGGAAGCCACAGAAATGCTGCTCCAAGAGTTAGAGCGCCTATGGAGCGGGGGCTGGCTCATGAGTTGCTGGCCGGTGGAAATCTGAGCAATATAGTTACTAGAATGCTAGAAAAAGTGGAGAGACATTAATGAGTGAGACGAAAAACTGAGAAACAGTTCATTACTTTTCTATCATTTTAGCGCAAGAAGTGTTGGGAGTAATCGTTTGAATTGTTAGATTTTTGGGGTACTGGATTTATTTAAACTAGACTTTTTAATGTTTTTCAGTCAAACTTTTAAGAAATGGTACCAACAATGTAAAATAAAGCAGTGGATTCTTACAGAAAGACCGCGAGCTGAGCAAGTTCCCTAGGGCAAAGCTGCTGTGCAGCAGGTGACTTACAACCGGAGACGCGGAGGCCGACCTGCGCGTGGGTTTGTCTTGGCCCCGATCTCGCTCCCGAGCGGGTCTCTGTGGCTTTTCCGTTTTGGGCTCGGTAACAATCGCTTTAAGCTGTTTCAGTTTTTCATCCTTGACCCAAAGTTGGTTTTGCATCTCCAGCTGCGTGGCTGCCACACGACGGTCCTACGGATGGCCAGCAGGCTTGGTCAGGGGCATCCAGCCAGGACACCCACCTGCCCGTCACTCAAAGAAAGCTGCCCGGCCCTGGGAGGAGCACCAGAAGGGTGACACTCACGCATTCTTTTTGCCACTTGGTTGTCATTTCGGCCACCATGCCTTGCAATCTGGTTTCCAGCCTACACTGCTCGGAAATCTGTCGCTGAAGTTGCTGATTCTGGTTTTCAAGTTCCTGTTGCAGATTACGCCTGTCTTTTTCGTATATAGAAGTCGTTTTCTCTAAAATTTCAATCTGGGAAAGTAGACATTGTGTTTAATAATTGTTGGCACGTGAACAGCTCACTTGGCTATAATCTTTCTGAATTCCTTGTGGAAGCACAATTGTGGAAAGAAAAATCATTTAAAAATACTTTTTAAAAATTTCATATAAATTCCTACACCTCTATTCCCAGAAATGAAATTTTTTTGGCCTCAAGATGCCCTCAGGGCATGTCTGGTTTGGCGTATCTGGGTTCAAACCACAGCATCCTGAGCCTGACTGCTTTGTTTAAGCAGGTACTTAAAAACAACTGAGCTAATGGGCAGGCCCCCAGAAATGAAATCTTATTAAATAAGCTCCTCACTAAAAGTTAAGGTCATAACTAACTCCAAGCAAAAAATCCTTTTTTCCCTAACACTACAGCCTAGCACTTTGTCTTCCTTATTTTTTGAAACAGGGTCTCACTATGCAGTTCAGGCTGGCATTGAGCTCACTCTGTAGCCCAGGCTGGTCTTGAACTTCCAACGTTCTCCTGCCTTAGCCTCCCAAGTGCTGGGATTACAGGACTGTACCACGACAAGAAGCTAACACTTCCATTTCTTAAGCAAATTTCAGAATAGGAGAAAACAGTACAAGAAGTGTCCCCCAGTGTATAAGTGACTCTCAGATGAGGCTGAGCAGTGCCTGGCACACACGAGGGGCATCCGGAGTCTGCCCTCCTCCTATGTGATCTGCAAACCAAATCCACATCCACTCAGTACCTGCGGCTTGCTAAGAACCAAACAGGCACTTTTCCATTATCCACATGAGCATTAATTTCTTTTTTTTTAAGAAAAAGCAAGAAAAAATACTTGTAATAAGCCAGTAATCTTGGAGGAGGTGAGGACAGAAAATGACAAGTGACCACCGAGGAGTAGCAGGCAGGAGCCCAGCGTGAGACCAGAGCACCCCGCCGGCACAAACCTCGCTGCAGGACCCCAAGCACACCTTGTGTTCCAGTGTCTTGTTCTTCTTCTCCAGTTGTTCTATTTCCATCTTCTGTCCTGATATCAGCTTATCTTTTTCACTTAGTTTTCCTTGACTGTAGTTTTCTTTATTTCTAACAGCATTTTCAAATTCTTGTAACAAAGCACTAAAAGCACTAGCTGAAAGAAAAGCACACAGACCAAGCTTTACCCCAGATGCAAAAGCCAGAGGGAGCTATTAGGAGACGCTAGAGCGAGGCAGCTTTCAGCAGACGTCACCCTGAGCAGCAGGCTGGAGGGGGAAGTTCCCAAAGGAACCAGGATCCTGCTCCTCAGCTACAGAAGAGACTCACCGAAACTTCCCTTCTTCTTCCTTCGCTTCTTCCTAAACGTTTGGTCCAGGTCCTCCTCGCCCTCCCTGTGTGACCAGCCTGCCTCCAAACTCCTGTCCCTCCCGCCTCAGCCTGCTGAGCTGAGCCGACCGGTGTGAACCGCCACGCCCAGCCAGCTTGAAGCCTTCTGTCTAATGCTGAAGAGACTCGCGCTGCACTACCGCACCCTCCTCGCAGTGATCAGCAGGTAAATGCATGCTTCCAAGTGCACAACAGAAACAGCCCTGGCTTTGAGATCAGCTGGCCGTGAGGGGACGCCAGTTACACACCTTGTCTGGCGAACTCATCGGTCATCACTTGTCGAAGGTGATGTCGCTTCTCTAAGCTCTCAATCAGTCTGGGAAGGGTCTGCTCATCATTGATGTCCAAAATCTCGCACAGCGGCAGAGGCGGGAAACTCTGCAGACCCAGCTCGGTGACCAGGGCTTCTGGGTCAAATCACAGGGGATGAAAGTCACACAGGAGAGAAACAGCTTGAGTAAGGCGTACGCAGAGCCACAGAGCCATGAGTCACGGCGTTTCTCATGGTACTGTAGCCTCGCTGCCTAGTTTGAATTTTTTTTTTTGGGGGGGGGGGCGCAATTAATTCTCAAAAAGACAGAAAGTACATAGTTGCCTTATATGAATTAGATTTTTCAAAACTTAAGAGGCAGGCCAAGCAGTGGGTGGAGGCTGCAAGGCCACGTCGTACCATCTCCGAGGCCTCCCCGCATCTGGGTTCTGAGTCGCCTCTCGGGCAGGAAGCCACACGCAGCCTTGTCCACCGATTTGGTAACTTCTACCTCTTGGGTCACCTCTGCAAATCTCATGACTTGCTGCAACATAAAACAAGTGTGGTTTGTGGAAGATAAGCGTCTCTAGTCCCTCTTCAGAAATCACTGCACGAGGCAGAAATGGATTGGCTGTTCACTTCTGCTTCCAGACGTTCTGTGTCAACTTATATAATGTTCAAAGTGCAGTCTTCGGGCTGGCGAGATAGCTCAGTGGTCTAAAGCGCCTGCTTAGGCAAGCATGCAGGGACCTCGGTTCGATCCCCAGCACCAAATGCCATGCCAGCCCTGCCCATAGGGTGGGCTGAGCTGACCATAAAAAAAAAAAAAAAAGAAATAAAGAAATAAAGGAAACATTAAAAAAAAAAGTGCAGTCTTCAGTCTTCCCTGGAAAGCAAAACAAAACCACCTTGATTGTACGGGATAAGTAAGTGAAAATTACCAGGTTTTCTTCATAATCCGTGGTCTTCGGATTGACACACACAACCATACGCACTTTCCCTTCTCCATCAAAATAGTTCTTAAACAGGTGAGTTAGCTTCGAATCTCGGTACGGAACCATCTGTAAGAACACCCAGGCGTCAGTGCACAGCGCAGACACACGAACCAAACCGTGCACGTGGCCGACCCCGGCTGCCCCTGACCTTGTTAATCCCGTACATCTGGTTTTCTCTCAGGATCTCCATGCAAGTTCTCAGTGTCATCAGGGACTGATTAATGTTACCTGACCAAGAAACACACAAGGAAGGCACTGAACAACAACAGAGTAGCTAACGCGTGTAAAAATCATAGCTTCATACTGATGGGAATCAAACAAATTTCCTGGCTCTATTTTTTAAAATTTTAATTTTTTTAATAGATTGCAAATTGAAAATAAATTTACAAACATAAATGAATATAACAATAAAAATTGTTCAAAATAAAAATGAAGAAAATTTAGAGATCATTCATAATAATTCAGTTTCAAAACCAAGAAACTTATATTCATATAATTAGAATTCTCAAAGTAGAAAGGAATAGGCAATAAATATTTAAAGATTTAAAATTTCTGAATTTAGTTCAACTTATAATACCGCATTTCCAAGAAAAATGAACCTTTGCACAAGAAATTTAAATAAAATCATACCAAAATACACAAAAATGAAATTGTCCAAAACTTATTGTAAAGAAAAAAATCATTAAAGCGTATACATAAAAAATATTACCTATGAAGGACAAAATTAAATAGCATCTTATTCCACATTAGAAAGAAAAAAAAGAACCAAGTGTGTAAGAAACTAGACTAATTAAAGGACTGAAAGAAATGAAAAGTTCTGTCCTCTTTGAATTTTATACTTAGCAAACATACCTTTGAAAACTAAAAGTAAGGGCCAGGGAAATGGCTCAGTGGAATAAGCACTTCCCTGGCAAGCGCAAGGGCCTGAGTTCAATCCCCGGTTCCGCAAAAAAAAAGAAAACTAAAAGTAAGATTTTCTAGTTATATAAACTTGAAATATTTGAATAGCTCCAGAAGTAGCATATAGGAAATAACAAAGAGCATAATTCAAAAGGCAAGAGAAGTTGCAGTATGCTCCTGGATGAACAATAAAGAGCTCTCAATATGATAGTTATGCAGGACTATATAAAATATATTAGATGAATGCTTATTTAAAGGTCATTGCAGATTTCTATGAAACAGTACCAATCTTATGTTGGGTTACACATGTATTTTTTTTTCATATATGTGTATGTGTGTATAAAAGACGGGAGAATATAGAGTCAACAGAAAATAGAAGTATACTTTTTAAAGTTTCTAATACTAGGACAAGATATACGATTTCTTTTAAATAAGTTGTAAGTCAAAGATATAGTACAACTCTTACTCACGGCTCTATTAAGGAGTGGTCTATGCGTGGTCCAGTTTTCTTTGCCCTTTTCCTTTCTGAGGCAGGGTCTCACTTGTAGCCCAAGCTGGTTTCAAACCAGCAGTGATCCTCCTGCCTCTGCCTCAAGTGTTGGGATTACAGGTGCGTACCACCACACCCAGCCAGGCTGTGTTTCTACATTAGTTGCTATATACTTTTTATTTATTTAACTTTTAGGGAAGGGTCTACAGGGTGTTCAGGGTCTCACTACTAGATCGGACTCAGTGATCTGCCTATTTATAGCCTCCCAAGAGCTGGGATTATGGATCTGCACCACCATGCCCAGTCTCAATCGCATCTCAGCGTGCCCCACGGGCGGCCCTGGCCTCTGTGCCTGCTTGCAGGTGATTTAATCCACTGAGCTATTTGGCCAGCCCTATACTTTTTAAAAAATGTTATTTAAAAACAAAACAAAACAAAAAAAAACCTTATGTATTTGGTACGGGGTCTCACTACAGAGCTCAAACTCCTGTTTCAGCCTCCCCAGTGCTGGGATTACAGGAATGCGCCACCACGCCCAGTTTTGGTGGCCAAGGATCTGTGGGCTGGGGCAGCTCTGGCATGCAGTACTGGGCACTGAACCCAGGTCTTTGCGCTTGCCAGGCCAGCACTTAGACTGCTGAGCTATCTCTCTGAGCCTTTCTATATGGGTTAAAAATCACCCTTTGGGTTTCTATTAAAAAGCAACATTGCAGGCAAAGCCCCAGGAGGCCTCTCTGGCTTTATAAAGTACATACGTCAGATGCAGGGGTTTCATGGCCCTGTATTGGGAGGGAACACTCTAAAGCATTCTCTAAAGCATGACCATTTCGGCCTTACTGGCTCCGGCAAGTCAGGAGCCCCCTCTGGGCCCCGAGAAACCAGATGACTCTGTCCCCTCCACCTCTCAGCAAGGACTGCTAAGAGGCATAGTTGTTATTTCTGACCAATCTTGTCTGGATTTTTCAGCAAAGGCAAGCTTGACAGATTCCTCAAGCCTCTAAGACCACAGGTATCACCGGATCAGACCTAAGTGCCCCTAAAAATGTGTTCATTTCGGAACCACGTTAAGGGCAGCTGGCTCCACTGTGCTCTGGTCACCTCTGGCTTACCAAATGGATGAGTTAGGAACTAAGCTTAAAGGTCAGTGATCATGGTTGCTTGGGCGGGGGGGGGGGGGGGGACGCCTGTAATCCCAGCACTTGGGACGCTGAGGCAGGAGGACTAAAAATAAAAAAGTCAGTGACACTGCTTCAGTGACGCTAGCTTGCTATAATGTAAGTTATCTGAAATACAGTAAACTGGCAATGCAAGTTCCTGAACGCTGTAGCAGTACTGTGCTCCACCCACCTGCTTCACGTAATCTGTTCCCTTCCGCTTTGGTCCGGTTAGTTCTTTCGCTGCCAGCAAGATCGACCAAGAACAGCTGGCTTAATAAGATGTGTTCTTTTTCCTACAAGGAGCCACAAAGCCAATACCCTAACGTGAGTTATGTTGGCTTACAGTGTCCTTGAGACAGAATCAAGCCAGCGGTCACTGAGGTCCTAATGAATGCGAGGTCTGCATGACACACAACGTGGGGGGGACGCAGGACACGCGTGTCCCAGAGCACAGCTGTAAGCATACAGTAAACACACTCCCGACACGAACCACACTTGTCTGCTGTCTGGTCTTTTCTCTGTATCAGAAGATGCGGGCTCCCTGGCAACAGGGACTCCTGTACCACCTCCCCTCCCGTACTCCCTCTGTGAAGTGGGTCACAGGAAACCGAGTGTGTCCTGAATAAGGTGGCTTATCCTCAGTCCCTAGCTGAGGAGTGTTAACAGCAGTTTCACATTTGCTGCTGACTGTACACTAAGCACAGATCATGAACTTCATAATAAACATTACGTCTTTTAACCCTTTTAATCTTTTGTTTCCTGAGTACTGACGATTGAAACTGGGGCCTTCTTACTGAGCTACACGGCCCCAGCCCTTCTATATTTATTCTTTTGAGAAGGGTCCTACCAGGTCCCACAAGTTGCCCTGGTGGAGCTGAGCTTGCAGTGGTTCCTCCCGCTCCAGCCTCCCAGCGTGCTGGGATTCCAGGTGTGCACCATCACACAATCTTGGAGATTCTACTGCAGTATTAGGCTACTATGGTTTGGTCAGACAGCTAGCAAATAGGAATAAGAGCTCACATCCCCGCCGAGCGTGGTGGTGCATACCTGTAACGTCAGAACTCGGGAGGCGGAGGCAGGAGGATCCTCGCAAGTTCAAGATCAGCCTGGGCTACAAAGTTGGTTTAAGGCCAGCCTGAGCTGCACAGCAAGACCCTGTCTGTAACTCAAACACACACACACACACACACACATACACACACACACCCTAGTCTGCCGTATCACTTCTTGCTGCCACCTATAAGGCACTATCACAACGACATGACACAATATTCTGATTGCAGTGAAACAACCTACAGTTACTGTGTGCGGAGGTGCAAACACTTAACAAGGCCACTGCAGCATGCCACGTGCGGCACTAACTAGTGAGCTGCGCTGCAGCCCCACCGGCACACGGGCCAGAAGGACAACTCGGGGCCCTGGCCACCCGCTACCTGCACTCATGCTGGGAAGCCAACTGCTGACATTTAAAAATAGGAACTCAAACTGCCCACGCAAAGGAGTCATTACAGATAAAATCATCGATTGCACATTTTTAAGAGATCTTTTTAAAATGTGCAAATCCTTTTCATAGCAAAATTCCTAGTGCACAAATAACTAATGAGAAAAAAATTTTTTCAAGGGTCAGCTGTGGCTGTATCAGTTCCGCAGCAGTCTTCCCCGCAGTGAGGCCTCTGCAATTTAACTCTAAGTCCAGAAATCGAGGGCTGAGGCCAAGAGCAAGGCCACACGCTGCACGTCACCTGCAGGACGTTGTCTCTGTCCGCATCCAGCGGAGCCTTCACTAGCTTGATGTTGAACACGCTGTGGGAACGGCTGGACTCCTGGTTCAAGTGCGTGTTAGCAATGCGTCTTTTTGTCTGACCTAAGACGGCAGAGCAATCGCTGATCAGCCTTAATCATGTGCTTACACATACACGCCCGCGCTCAGGGTTCAACCCATTACTCTATAGTCCCCTCCTTGTGTTGCTGACCTCGCCAGAAAACTTCAAAAGCTTCCTCAGTAGACTTCACTTCCACCTGAGTGCAGCCTGCAACATACATGTTATGGTTCTTATCTTCTCGCAGCATTTTAGACTGTGGCAGTCTACGAAAAGAGAAAGAGGTTAGAGTCCTAGACCGGGAGGCACCAACGTGTTCCCCGACACCTAGAGCCACACTGCTCCGCAGCACTAGGGCTGCATGGGATAAGACCCCAGGGAAACGTTAGAGTACACCGGACAGGGCTCAGTCGGGTTAGTGACGTGACAAGGTAACAGGAAGCAGTTCAATTGCAAAAGCGCGGCTCTGGGTCACTAACAAAGCACAAGAAACACCCCTAGACACTAGAGCGAAGCAGGGCCAAAGCAGCACCACAGGTCCAGCCTCTCGCCCCAGCGGGGCTCTTCCCCACTGGTCCCGCTCTGGGCAGCAGCAGCCCCCCACTGGGGTGACACAGCTCAGCCACTTCTTCCAGTGGTGGCACCAATTCCAAAGGCAGTTCCAGGAGCCAGGAAGGCACTGAGGGAGCAGCCAGCCCGGTGCCAGGGGAAACCTACATGCATGCGGGCATGCACAGCCACCAGTCACGAGCGTAACTGCACCCTCAGTCCCAGGAAGGGACAGCGGGCACATGACATACGCAAAGTCTGTGCTGCTCCCAGGGTTCCTGCCATTGTTCCACCTACCAAAGGAATAAGGTCAATGCTGCAGTTCCCACTGCAGCACTGCAGCTCAGACGACAGAGGGGCACCTCAAATACCCTCCACTTGCAGTCTATCTTCATTGCATTAAAAACCACAAAAAATGCCAGGCGTGGTGACACCAGCTTGCAATCCCAGCACTGGGGAGGCTGAGGCAGAAAGACTGCCTCAAATTCAACGCCAGCTTGGAATACCTAACAAGACTCTACTTCAAAAAAAAAAGGAAAACAAGCTGGGCATGGTGGTACATGCCTATATCCCAGCGCTGGGTAGGCTGAGGCAGGGAGATTGCTTCAAGCTTGACATATACCTGGGCTATAGTGAACTCAAGGCCAGCGTGAATTATGAAGCAAACTGTATTACACAAACAAAACAGTAAAAGCTAATAGCTCCGAAAAGCAGGACTAACAATACCCTACCAAATTAAGTCGGAATCAAACGGCTAACAAGCGCCTTGTAAACTCATTCAAGGAAGTAAACAGGATGGTCACCAAGCACGCAGGCACTTTTGATGATCTCCCTTTGCATAACTTAATCAAGACAGGGTCCTTTGAATGAATTCCAACTTAAACCACCAAACAAAGATGTGGCACACGGACAGACATGGAAGCAGTGAATGACACCACCCAAGTTTAGGAAAATGATACACACAAAGCTGGGGTCACAACACCTGGCCGCCTAAAACAAATAGGGCAGTGGTAAAGCCAGCGATGAAAGCCAATTACCACCAGCTGCAATGGCACACACCTGCAATCCCAGCACTCTGGGAGGCTGAGGCAGGAGGACTGCAAGGGTGAGCAAATGAATGACTTGGCAAAACCACCTCTCAAGAAACAAAATGAGGGACCTCTGGGAATGTAGCGAACTACAAAGGCCCTGTACTCAAGCCCCAGCACTGGAAACCACAAGCACAACACACGTACCTTGGAAGGTCTTCTTTTTTTTTGTCTTTTTGAGACATGGTCTCAGTGCTTGAGCTCACTGTGTAGCCCAGGCTGGCCTTGAACTTGCGGTGATCCTCCCTCAGCCTCCCCAGGGCTGGGATTACAGGCGTGCGCCACCACAACCAACAAGATCCTACTCTTTCACATGTTATAGATACTAACACAAGAGTAAAGGATGGGGGTTGAGGACATAGCTCAGCAGCAGAAGCACCTGCTGGCAAGTGCAAGGTCCTGAGTTCAATCCCACACACAAAGAAAAAGAGCAAAAAATAGTGCCCCTAAAAATAGGTCCCGCCAGGTGTTGTGGCACAGGCCTGTAATCCCAGCACTCAGGAGGCTGAAGCAGGAGGGTCACCGACAGACACCAGCCTGGGCTACAAGGTGAGTTCAAGGCCAACGTGAACTGCATAGCAAGACCATGTCTCAAAACAAAAGTCAGTCCAGTAAAGTTCTCGGTTAAGGATTAACGGAACAACAAAAAAAGGACGGTCTTTCTTCACATAAATGTGTAGAATTTAAACTTTTATCTCTACTTCAGTTACCTAGTTGGTAAATTCAAGGACCCCACAGGAAGTTCGTCTACTGAAATGCCATTCAGTAAGACCTACACAGATGCTTGTCCAGTGTGGCCCCAAGCAAAGCCATACGTCTCAGACGTCCGCTGCACACACCGAAATCTGTTCTCAGTGTAACGGTTTTCTAAATCGAGCGATTTCTCCACTGCGGCAGATATGTACAATTTTCTTTCTTTTTTTTTTTTTTAAAAAAAAGACAGGGCCTTCTTATGCAGTTCAGGCTGTCCTTGAACTACGTAGCCAAGCCTGGCCTCGAACTCCGCAACTTTCCTGCCTCAGCCTCTTAAGTGGTGGGATTATAGGCATGCACCACCGTGCCCAGATCACCTAAGTTAAATGTAAGACAAGGGTCTGCATGCCACGGATGTAGTACAGAGGTGCTAACAAAGAGGGCGCTAAAGGCCAGCTTTCAGCAGGGGAACAAAACCCTTCACAAACGAGCAAGATAGGACACTAACATTAAAGACCAAAGATTCCAAAGCCAGCTTGGGCACAAACTCAGACTGTTTGGGACCCCTGCCAATAACTGTGTCTTACCTTAGGTTCCCAGCAAAGCAAGGCCCAGGAAACTGAGACAGTCTGGGACTCTGGCACGGTAACAAGTGTCACTCAGGGTTTTTTGTGTGGGTTTTGGCTTTGGTCTTTTTGAGAAAAGGTCTCCTCACTATGCAGTTCAAACTGGACTTGAGCTCAGTTCAGAGCTCAGGCTGGCCTTGAAACTGCAAGGTTCTTCCTGCCTCAGCCTCCTTAGCGCTGGGATTACAGGCATGCAATACCACACTGGGCTAGCAGTGCCACTTTGTATTAATCAGCGATGCAGGGGCGGGGGGAGACGGCTCAGTAGATTAAGCACTTCCCTGGCAAGCGCAAGGGTCTGAGTTCAATCCCTGGTTCCACAAAAAAAAAAAAAAAAAAAAAAAAAAAAAAAAAAAAAAAAAAAAAAAAAAAAACCAGCAATGGCTGGGCAGAGAACACCTGCACATCACAATCCAGAGATGGCCAGGACTGAGAGCTAGAGGCAGCGAGACTCCCCACGCTAGGCCAGGTCCTAAAAGGGAGCCCCAGCCTGCACCCATATATAATTAACCAGGAGACCTGCTCAGAACAGCTCAGGACCAAGAATTCTCAAATGTAACCTCTAGCCAGGAAGCTGAGGCAGGAGGATCACTGAGTTTGAGGCCAGTCGCAGCTACATATACTGAGCTCAAGGTCAGTTTGAACTACATACTGTCACCCCATCTCAAAAAAAAAAAAAAAAAGTAATCTCCAAGATGAGTATCTAGGTCATTTTTTTCCTTACGTGCCTGAGCGCTCTAGCCCCCTAAAACAGCCACTATATTGTTACTAATAGAAGTGTTCACTTAACCCTAAATACATGTCGCACCCGGAGTACACACGCAAGCTGGGTCCTCACTTAGAGCTGAAATGGTAAAGCGTCTCTAAGGTACAGCGACTCCCCCGAGGCAAACAGCCGAGGGGCTCCAGGTCCCCACTTACTTGTTCTTTATTGGATCTAACGAGGCCTCCTCCAACAGGTCATATATGTAATTATTATATATCTCAATGTAAGAGACAAATACACCATAGACACTGTCTTCGTCTACTTGTTCCACTTTGCAGGCTTCTTGGACGTTTATGATATCTGCAAAGTCTGCGTCTACTTGTCGCCTGAAAAATAAAGAACAGAAAAGTGATTTTATTCACTCATAAGTTGTGAGCTGAAGTAAACAACGCCGCAGGGATGCTGAAGCTCGGCACGGATGATCTGGCAGACAGCAGGGCCCACAAAGCCACTCTGCTCCTCCTTACCAAACCTGCCAGGGCCTCAGCCCTCCCGGGCGCCCAGCACAGGCCTACCCCTCCCCCCAGGGGCAGCTTCTAACAGCAGGATCCCACACTGGGAGCTCGACACCAGAGAGGACGTCTGAGCAAAGGGACCTCAGGATTCCACCACGGTTTCCACTCCTCAAGCCCCGGGCCAGGACCCCCACCAATGCGCTCACGTACTTGCTGGAGGGGGTCTTCAGGATGGGCGTGGCTTCTCGTTTCTGACGTTCTAACAAGGCATCAACCTCGCACTGAATTTCCATGCTATTCCTATCATTAGATTTAAAAACCTGAAAAGGGACAAAGATCAGACCATGCTTTTTAGAATTTGAGTTAAGTAGCGATTGAAAAACGAGCCACGTAACACCTAACACCGTTTCAAGACATCTCCAACGCTTCTGCTCTTCCTATACCTTGGGCCTGTGTAGAACAGGAACCACACTGGCCACGTGTGGTGGCACCCACCTGCAATCCCAGCACTTGGGGGGCTGAGACAAGAGGACTGCCAAGAATTCAAGGCCAGCCTGGGCTACACAGTGAGACTGTCTCTCAAAAAAAAAAAACCAAAAACTCACCCCAAACTAAACTCAAATAGGCACAACACAGAACCAATACTTACATAGCGCTTGGCCTGGAATGGGCCTATGCTATTGAAGATCATCTTCAAGCACCGAGGCAGCAGCCCTCCTTCCCCTGGAGAACCCGTCATGGTGTGAGTTTTCCCACTTCCTGTCACTCCATATGTAAAGAGAAGACCTGTGCCCCAGCAAGTCAAGATAAGTTAAAGTCCTGCACTTAAAGCATATTTTCTATAGTAAGCAAAATAAATACATAAATAAATAAATAAAAAGCCAAAAACCATGAATTAACCTACTCAAAAACAGCAGGCTTAACATCACCCTAAAAATAAAATCTGAATTTAAGTGAAACAGAAACCAAATTATAGGGGCTGGTGACATGGCTCGGTGGTCTAAAGCACCTACTTAGAACAAGCTTAGCAAAGCACAGGGACCGTGGTTCAATCCCCCAGCACCACATGCCAGCCAGCCCCGCCCCCTGGTGGGCTGAGCTGGCCATACACACACACACACACACACACACACACATAAATAAATAAAATTTTTAAAAAAAGAAACCAAATTATATTTTTAAAAAAAAAACAAACAGTTTTATCAAAAGAGAAGAAATGCCAAGCCTGCTGGGGCACACCTGTAATCCCAGCCCTTTGGAGGCTGAGGCAGGAGGATCAGCTGTAATTTCAAGGCCAGCTTGGGCTACCTAAGCAAGTTCAAGGCTAGCTTGAACTGCACAGTGAGACCCTGTTTCAAAAAGATAAAAACAGGAGGCCAGGGAGATGGCTCAGTGGAATAAGCCCAAGGGCCTGAGTTCAATCCCCAGTTCCGCCAAAAAAAAAGGAAGAAACAATGAATCTCTTGGGGAAATCACCCAGGTATGGTGGTGCACACTCGGAATCCCAACACTCAGGAGGCTGAGATAGTAAGATCCTTAAAACTTCCAGACGAGCCTGGGCTACAAAAGCTTGAGGCCAGCCTGAACTGCATCGAGACCCTGTTTCAAAAAAAATGCAAAAATGAAACAGGGAAATCCAAGCCAACTCCCAAGCATCTCACCGTTTTTGCCATGAATGAGGTCATCCACTAAGGGCTTCGCCACGATGTCGAAAAGCTCCTGCTGGGTGGTGTGAGCGCCGAACACTTGTTTAAAGGAGTACTGAATCTGTGGACGGAAGACAGACAGACGTGCCCCCTTGGAACCCCACTGGGGAGCCTAGAAATGTACCTGCTCACACCTAGCGTGTTTCGTTATGACCAGTTCAGACACCGAAGGTCTGAATGGTCTCAAAATCCCCAACCCTGAGTGTCCTAGCAACTAAGGCAGTCACCATTACTTAGGTTATGTCAGCTTACAAACTGGTAAATATTTTGTCCCCTCTCCTGAAGAGTACGCAGAAAGTGTGAAGTCTACTAGAAGACGTGACTGTTTTCATCAAGTGACAGCGAAGACCAAACAGTACTGTTTCCTAGTCACAGCTTGATGGCAATCTTTGTTACTTCATACACTAGTCTATTTTTTTCCTTGATAAAAAGGTTACCTAGAATAGCAATAGCTCAGGTGGGGTGGCACACACCAGTAATCCCAGTACGCAGAGGGCCAAGAGCCAGGGTAATGGGACAGCTGGAGGCAAGGTTCTGGCTTATCTTATAAGGCGAAAAGATCATCAGTGCTAAGCGCTAAGGGGGAAGAGAGAAGCAGGAGGCAGGCTCCACAGCATTCACCCCTGGAAGGTCGTGATTCCTCCCAAGGTTTCAAAGGGGAAATAAGACCTCCTTCATGTTTTTTGTTTTGAGACAGAGTCTCGCTATGCAGTTCGGGTGGGCCTTGGGCTTACTTTTTGTAGCCCCCAGGATGGTCTTCAACTGGAAGAGATCCTCCTGGCTCAACCTCCCCAGTGCTGGGATTACAGGCGTGTGCCACTACACCTAGTTCTGGGGCCAGGGATCTGGGTCCTTGTGCTTGCCTCTCTGGCCCCTCCTTTGTTTTGTTTTAATTTATTTATTTTTCGCGGAACGTGGGATTGAACTCAGGCCCTTGCGCTTGCCAGGGAAGCGCTTATTCCGCTGAGCCATCTCCCTGGCTCCCCGGCCTCCCTCCTTTGTTTTAAAAGAACATGGTATTATGAGGTGAGGACACAATGCACATGCCTATAATCTCTGGACTCTGGAGGAGCTGAGGCAGGAGGATCTCTTGAGTTTGAGGCCAGGCTAAGCTACATAAGGAAATTCAAGGCCAGTGTGAGCTACACAGCAAGACTGTCTGAAAAACATGAAACAGAACAATTCTGGATGCTAGTAGAAACAGATCTGATAAAACTATCAAGGGAAGCAAACAGTCCAGCTGGGCCGGAGCACAATGTGGCCAAAGTGAGCTCAAAGCATGGTCAGCAGATCCAGGCATGCCTGAGAACGTGCTCCAAGGCTACTGCAGCATTCAGAAAGCACGTCGCACCTGCGGTAACCCCTCAGCCTGTGTCCAGCGGGCTCGGCTTCCAGCCTGTCATCCGGCTCGCCTGGCTGGTTCCATCAGCACAAGCTGCACTGCAGTATCAGCTGCCATGCAGCAAATGTGAGAAAACCATTCCTGCTCTAGCTTCAGGGGCGCGGGTGTCAGAGACCAAGGAGATAAAGGCGTGGTGGCAGGGTTGGACATAACAGAGCCATTCCGAGATGCACATGGGGAGAGAGGATCCCGTGTGCATGGCCAGGATCTATGTAGAGGGCCTGCTGGGAATTGGATCTGCACACTAGGGGCCAGGATTCTGCCCAGGGCACCCGGACAAGGAGCTGAGAGGGGAACGACGGTCCCTAATTCCACCTGTTAGGGTCCCTAACTATCTGGTTTTCTGGAAGAGACTAAAACTCGCAAGAGAGAAAGCTGGAAGGAGACAGGAAGGGCTGCAGTAAGGGGGTGCTGCTGGGGTTGCAGTGAGGACAGAGGCCTGCATGGAGGTCCACAGTGAGGGCGATGTCCTGGCCAGCGAGCGCAGGAGGAAGCACAGGCAGGGAACAGAGGAGACACCGGGTCCTCTTCCCTCGGTCCTCCCTGCTTCTTCAGCGCCCGGGTGGCTGGGCTGCTCTGGGAGGGCCACCGCCCGCCACCCTTCCTGGCTATGCTGTGAAGCCATCAGGGCCAGGGCTGTCCCGCTCACTCTAAGTCTCCTCCTGCCTCCAGCTGCTGGCTCGGCGCAGCACTTATTGGATGGAGTTGTACTCGCGTATTTCTGAGTTCCCTCAGTATCGTATGGAACAGAGAAATGCTTCGTTAAGAGGCAGGTGAAAGCTAGGTGTGGGGTGCACACCTGTGAGCCCACTGTGGGAGCTCAGCCAGGGCAACTGAATGAGACCCTGGCTCAAAACAAACAAGGGCTGGGGATGCGGCTAAGGGGGAAGGCACTGGGTTTGATTCTCAGTACTGAAAAAGAGAGGGAGAACAGGAGCCGAGCCAGGTGTACGCCCCCAGCCCGGGGGTTAGGAGTCCATCACCATCGCCACTCAGCCACCTATCAAGACCAATCCCTGCATGTCGGAGGCTGAGGCAGGAGGACCGCAAGAGCTCAAGACCAAGCTGGGCTACCTAGTGAAGTCAAGGCCGGCCTGAAATTAACTGCATCACCCGACTGTGTCTCTCTCTCTTTTTTTTTTTGGTGGAATTGGAGATTGAACTCAGGCCCTTGCGCTTGCCAGGCAAGTGCTTAATCTACTGAGCTATCTCCCTGGCCAAGACCCTATCTCAAAAAACCCAAAAAGTTGGAGGAGGAGAGTTGTTGATACCAATAAACGATGTCTACCATTAGGTATTATTTCACTTTCCACACCTGAAATTGTATACGTAAAACCGACCAGCACAACATCCCTGCCCACTGAACTCTCCCTGCTATGCCCTGAAGCCAGCAGCCTCCTCACACTGGCGCACCTGTCGTGGATATGCCCTGGAAATCGAAAAGAAGGAAGTACGTCTTTCAAACAACGGGATCACAGACAAAACTGAAATCCAAAAGTGGAAAAGCCACTCAGGAAACTCAAGTAAAAACTAGTTGGCTGCGGGAGAAATTACCTCCTTGTCATTTCCAATTCTGTTCAGTTTGTAGACACCCTCGGGAGGGTGAAACTGCACCGTTGTGTCACTGATGACCTCAATGCAGCTGCCCTCTTGGTCAGGGAAGCTCAGGGGACGAACCCTACAGTAGACCTGGAAGGAAGGAGCTTGCCGGTCAGCCTCATTTCTCACTTAAGCATCCCATGCATCCCACCCATCCATCCACCCATCCACCCATCCACCCATCCATCCACCCACCCACCCATCCACCCATCTACCCAAATATTCAGTGTCTCCATTTAATAGACTGATATAAACTCAGAGCCAAGGAAAAGGGAAATCTGCTGCTCAAGATTGTTTAATGAGGTCTGGGGAGATAGCTCAGCAACATAAACGCTTGCCTGGCAAGCACAAGGTCCTGAGTTTGATCCCTGGTAATGCAAAAAAGATTTCTGAATGAAAACAGATACATCAGACATGAGAAAACATGTAACATATATGTAACATCAAAATACAGTTGGATAACCAAAGTATCAAATTGTATAGGTTGCCTTTTACTTTTTTTTTTTTTTTTTTTTTGTATTTAAGGAAAGGTCTACAGGATGTTCAGGGTCTCACTACTAGATCAGACTCAGAGTGACCCACCTGTTTACAACCTCCTAAGAGCTGGGATTACAGGGCGCACATGTCCAGCCCACCTTTCACTTTTAAACTATGCACAAATGACTAAATTATGCAACTAACAAAGATCTCTCTGAACAGGAAACAAGAGCTGCTGGACTTCCTTGGAATTGGATGTCAATTAAACCTTGCTAGCTTGACCTAACACTTAATAATGACAGAATAAAGCAGGAAGAAGTGTGGGGAAAACCTATCCAATAGTGTCCTCAGGCACCCACAGTTCTCTCCAATGGTAGGGCAGGGAGGGGGATTTAAAACGCCTCTGAACAACAACAAATTATTTTAAAAGCCAGGTCCCAAGCCTGACATCACTCGCAATTATGAGGCGTTCCAATGAACCCAACCATACCAGGTCTGTGAAACTCAGGAGCATGGAGTTCCGCTGGAAACCTCAGTTACCTCAAGCAGGTGGGAGAGCTCACGTAAGTCTGAGCAGAAAGCCTGCCCCCCAACTCTGGGAGGGTGAAAGGAAGCCAGGAGACTTCTGATTAGTTATACCCGAGCATGCAGTCACCAACCAAGGACTGAGGCTAACAGATCCTCCTGAGGAACCCAGCTGGAACCGGGGAGACCCAGTTCAGTAAATGTAAGGAGCCCCCTTTAGCCGACCTCCTCATCTCCTTTGCCTTTCCTCTGGAGCACATAAAGACAGAGAAGGACTGAAGAAGGAACACACCACATCAAGCCAGGCAAAATCTTACCCCAACTGGCTCCTTGAGGGTCCTCGGGTACCCTTTTCTCACCGGTTTCCTAGGTGTCTTAGTTCTCCTGGTCATTTAAAAACAAACAAAAAACTCCGTTCAACACTCACATACAAAGACCTCACACAGAATTCATACAAAGCCAGCTTTCCTCAGGTTGGTAGAATTGAATTGTTCTAAAGCACTGCATCCCAAATATCATTAATAAGCTGGAGAGATAGCATAGCTGTTTACGCATTAGGCTCTACAGCGCGACTTTGCAGGTTCGAGCCCCAAGTATCATTATTAATACGCTGCAGTAGAAGGTGTTCTAGGCAATCCAAAAGTAATGTTTGCTATAGCATCTTTGCCTTATTTTCCAGTTTTATATGTCAACTAGTCTGTACATTTTCTTGAGAAATAGTTCTGCTGAAGCAATACAACTTGGAAAGCTCTACAAATAACTTCTCACACTTACCTCCAGAGACACATGCACACGCTAACAGTCATTTCCCAGGCAGAGTGACAAGGCAGTAACCTCAGCCGCTCACAAAAAAGCACAAGGGAGAATGCAATCTTCCTGTGTGTCTACAGTACACTTTCGCAGAACTGGTCATGCAGGAATCCACCAGGTGGTCTCAAACTGCCAATTTCCGTTTTTTGGTTTTTTTGGTTTTTTTTTTTTTTTCAGAACCGGGGATTGAATTCAGGCCCTTGCACTTGCCAGGGAAGCGCTTATTCCACTGAGCCAGTTCCCCAGCCCCTGGTTTGCCCTTCTCTTATAAACTACTTCACTGGGCACCTTGCTCTCTTTAGGAAACAGAGAAGGCCATTTTCATTTATTTCACCACCATTTAACACTAAAACAAATGACTAATTTTTGTCAACATAGTCAAAGTTGAAGCAGAAATTTTTTTTTTTTCTGTATTTAGGCCAGGGTCTACAGGGTCTCACTACGTAGATCAGACTCATAGTGATACTCCTGTTTTCAGCCTCCTACAGGTTGGGATTACAGGCAAGTGCCATCTCAGCGTGCCCTGCGGGCAGGCTGGCTTGACAGGCTGGGCATGGAACCGAGGCCACTGTGCTCTGCCTAAGCAGGCATTTTAGTCTGCTGAGCCATCAGGCTGTCTCCAAATTAATGCTTTGTTGTTGTTGTTGTTTTGTTTTGTTTGTATTTTAGGGAAGGGTCTACAGGGTGTTCAGGGTCTCACTACTAGATCGCACTCGTAGTGATCCGGTTGTTTACAGCCTCTCAAGAGCTGGGATTACAGGCGTGGCCACCGCACCCAATCTTCCAAATTAATGTTATTGATTTGCATTAACTCGATATGAAGATTTTAACCAGGTGTGCTGGTGCACGCCTGTAATTCCAGCCCTCTGGGAAGCTGAGACAGGAAGATTATAAGTTCTAGCCCAGCCTGGGCAACTTAAGCAAACCCTGTTTCCAAATCAAAAGATCAAAAAATAAAAGGGGACTGGGGAACACTGCTTCAAAATAATTTTTTAAAAGGCGGGGTGGGACTGGATATGGAGCTCAGTGTGAAGGCCCTGGGTTCAATCCCCAGTACCGAAGGAGAAAATGTTTTTGGCTCTAGCATTTTAATAAAGCCAGTCCTTTTGCAAGTGGCTAGCCACCTTCTTCAGACCTCCTTCCTCAACCAAGCAGACTTGGGGAGAAATGCGGACGTTCCCTCGGGGCGGAGCTCCCCCGGGACGGAGATAACTACCAGGGAAAGGAACTGGCCGGGCCTGCACGCCCGCAGGCCACCGCTCGGGGAACCAGACCAGGCCCCGCGGATAGCAACCGCCCGGGGCGTCCAGGGTCCCCCAGCACCGCTGCGTGCGGGGGGCCCCCAGACTCGCACCTCTCGGTACAACGCGAGGGGCCGGGGCAGAGGGGGTAGACGGCAACGACACTGGGCAGGGGCGTGACCCCGACCAGCGGACCAGGGGGCCCGGGTGCAGCCGGATCTCGGGCGCCCCTTCCCGGCGGCGGGCGCGGCCATGGGCAGCCAGGTTCGCGGGCCCCGGGAGCGACCGGGTCTGGGTCTAGGGAGGGTCAGCGGGGCGCCCCACTCGAGGGCGCAGGACCGGCCCCCACCCTCTTGAAGATCCCGAACTCACGCTGCATCCATGGCACCGGGTTTCGTGGGCCCCACACGAGGGGGACGCGGGTCGAGGGAGGACGGACGCTGCGAGAAGACAGAGCACTCGGCGGCTAGGGCGCAGCGCTCCGGGAAGGCCCGCCGCTTCGCCGAGTCTCTCTGCGCTCCCGCCAGGCGCTGTTTAAACGGGCCAATCAGGGCCCGCCCGCGAGAAAGGGGCGGGGCCTCGGGGAGCTCTCGCTGCCGGAAGTGGCGCTTGTCTCCTAGGCGACGACGCGGACAAGGTGAGCCGACTCAAGGCCGCGGGTAGATTCTACTCAGCTGCGTTGTTCTATGCATTTGCGAATATATACCATCCTATCACCACCACCACAATCAAATATATACTTAATTTTTTTTGTACCGGAGATCGAACTCAGGACCTTGGCTTGCCAGGCAGGCGCTTATGCCGCTATCTCCCCGACCCTACTTTTTAATTTTTTTTTTTAATTTTCATCAGCGCATGTTTGCGACCCGTAATGATTATGGTTCAGGGTGCAGAGTTAGTGCATAAAATAACAAATCTTAATTTTGTTCTTTCTTATCTTAATAAATTATATTTCTATTATGCTCAGAAATCCCACTGCGCCACTTGTTCCCCTGCTCCCACCCCTTGCCAGCGCACTTCGGATTCCCTTCCCTATCGTTTTGCCTTGTCCCGAATCTACTCTGAAGCAGTTTAAGGCTTTCGGAGCGCATCGCTGGGCCGTACGTCTCTGGCTCTGTTCCTTGCACTGCCTGGTCTTCCTGGTGTGGATAGCTGCTGCCGCTGCGTTCAGCAGTTAACAGGCACTTCGGTGCTTCCACTTTGGGGGATTAGGAATGAAACCCGTATAATCACTCGCACAAGAGCCTTTTGATATTGGTAGACGCGTTGTTCTCCTAGGTAGGACTGTCGGGCTAGTGACAGGTGTAAATTTAATAAGAAACTGCCAAACTGACAAAATATATATAAGATACTGGTGAACTGAGCTGCGAGAGTCTCAAGCAAACGAACCAAGGGTTGCGTGGAGTAAGCGGGATCTAGCAAAGGACTAGATTTAGACCGCAAACGCTTCTGGGCGGGTCTATGGGCGGCTCCAGAGAGGATTGGCTCGTGGGCAGGATGGGCGGGGCAAGCCGGGACTGGGCGGGGCATCCCGGGATTGGGCGGAACCACCTTCTGGGTTTTTGTTTGGTTTATTTTTTCCATAATTTTATTGAGAAATAAATAGCAATAAGACAGTTTCAAATCAAATTGGTAGGACAGTTCCAATAATTAACACACTGCATACTGCCTTCCTAGTGGTTAATTGCTGTACAAGATGCAGACATGATATCCTATTTACAAACACAATTAGAACAAATCCCTCTATTTCCTTGAATTAAGAGAATGTAGCTATATATCTATCCTAACCATTGTGAACACACAGATACAAAATGGTCATTCATCTATATCCCCTTTTCTTGTTTAGTTCCATCATTTAAATATTATAGGTGTGTGAACTCAGCAAAATATTTCACAATAGTCCAGGAGTCCATAATAGTACTGGGTCTTCCACTTGACTGGCTCCTTCTGGGTTTTTGCCCCGTGGGAATGAAAGGGAAAGGAGGAAGTAGCTTGCATTTGAAAAGCTCCTCCCATTCTGCTTGGTGTGTCTTGCACCGCTGCTGTCACCTGTGGACGCCAAGCAGGGACACTGCGGGGAGCTTCCAGGCCTTCAGCTGTTGCTGGATCGGGTCTTGTTCTTCGGCTTCTTGAGCTGAGTAGCTACCCAGTTCTCTGACTCTGCAGCCCACCCCAGCCACTGTGGCCCTGAATTTCTATAAAATATAGCAGTAAAAATGGAACAGAACGCACACAGATGCCAGGAGCTACTGGTGTCATATTTTTAGAATATAGTGACTAATTGAATATGCATGCAGAAGCTGTCTTTCAATAAATATTTCCTATGGTTGACCTCTGTTGTTACTCAGAATTCATTCTTTGATTTTGGGAATCATGAACTCAGTGGAGCTGATCTCTAACAGGTTGGGAGTTACATTTCCCAGCCACCAGACACAATGTATTAACCATTGTTAGTCTCTTACTGTCTTGTTTTGAACTTCTGCTTATTTTTTTTCCTCTTTAAAATACAATTAAGGGGGCAGGGGAGATGGCTCAGTAGAGTAATTGCTTGCCTGGCAAGCTCAAGGGCCTGAGTTCAATCCCTGGTTCCACCAAAAAAAAACCAACAAAAAGCCGGTCTGGCAAGCACAAGATCTCAACCAAGTTTGATCCCCAGTACAATAATAATAATAATAATAATAATAATAATAATAATATAAATTTTAAAAATTCAGGGCCGGCCAAACAGCTCAGCGGATTAAATCACCTGCTTAGGCAGGTTTGATCCCCTGGTCTGCCGTGCCGGTCCCCTCTCCCCCTACAGCGATTGAGACTGGATGTGGTGGCACGCGCCTGTAATCTCAGCACTTTGAGGGGACTGTAAACAGGAGGATCACTACAAATCCGATCTACTCAGTGAGCCCCTGTACATCCTGCACACCCTGTCCTAAATACAAAAAAAGAAAGAAAATTCAAAGCCGCAGGATCTGCAACAGCTCCCTGGGTGTTGCAGATGAGAGCTCGGGGTCTCAGAGTGCATCTGGCATCTGTGAGCGACACACAGACTGCTGCATCCGCTGATCCCTGAGGTCCTGGAGTTCTACACCCTGGAGCAGGCAAAAGTTCAACAGCTTACAGAAAGCTGCGGCTTGACATGAAGACAAGAAGAGCCTCTGGCACGCATGGAACAGAGATGACTGTCACCTGGAGAGAGATAATCACGGCCTGGAGCGCACAGTCAGAGGTGAAGCATTCCACACAGGTGCCAAGGGACACAAGAAAGTCCTCGGCCATCTCTCTGGAAGAACAAGGGACATTTCAGAATCCCTCAGAAGTCGAGCATCCAGGTGGCTCCCAGAGCAGAGCACCTCGGAACACAGCGGCCTGATTTCTGCCATCTCAGAGAGCAGCAGCATCTCCAGCCTGGGGGCTGCGAAGCCCCTTCTGCTTGCCCCTGAGGCGTAGGTGACGCTAACGCCCCCCGCCTGGCTCCTTCTGCCCCGGGAGCCTCTCAGGCATCCCTGCGTCCCAGCACCTCCAGGTCGCCTGTGCTGCCCTGTGCTCCCAGGCCCTCCACCAGCCTGATATCCTGCCGGCACGTGGCATTTTCTGAATTTCCATGCCTGTCTCTGCTGGCTCCGCGAGGGAGGCCCCGTAGGTTTGGTGTGCTCAGCCTCCCCACATCCATGGCGTCCGATACACACAAGTGCAGGGATCCCATCCCAGAACGACTAGGACTGTGTCTGCAGCGCATCCCGTGAAATGTGTCCAAACCAAAAGGGAGTCAGGATGTCCCCAGTATCGCCAACATAAAATCAAAGGGACTGGGGACGTAGGGCAGCAGCTGGAGCACTTGCCTAGGCCCCAGGTTCAATCCATATAGTGGAGGAAAAAATTAAATCACCTAAAAGCTGAGCAGTGGAAAATGAACAAGGAAGATCGAGTTCACCAAGGGGCCGAATTCAAAGGCTCTCGGGGCGGCCCTCCTTCACCAGTCCTTCGGAATACCATGGTGACCAACTGTCGCCTGGGAGTGGGTTACATGTCATAGTCTACTGAGACTTTTTTTTTTTTTTTTTTGAGACAAGTTTGGCCCAGGTTGGCCTTGAGCTCACAGCCATTCTCCTGCCTCAGCCTCCCAAGTGCTGGGATGCTAGCGTGCACCACCACACTGGGCTCAAGACACTTGTTTTCCTTTGAGCCATGGTTTTGCTCTGTAGTTAAGTTGGCTTGGAGTCTACTATGAACTCCAGACTGGCCTCGAAGTCACAATGATCCTCCTAGCTCAGCCTCCCAAGTGTTGGGGTCACAGGCATGTACCACTACTCCCGGCTCAAGACATTTTCCAAGAACTAAAAACAACTGCAGCAAAAAATATCTCCAAAGGCTGGCCAGATAGCTCAGCCGATTAAAGCACCTGCTTAGGCAGACACGGGGACCGGGGTTCGATCCCTGCCTTGCTGTGCTGACCTGCCCCTGGGGTGCGCCGAGATGGTGACTGAGACTGGGCTTAGTGGTGCACACCTGTAATCCCAGTGCTTGGGAGGCTAAAAACAGGAGGATCACTACGAGTCTGATCTGTGTAGTGAGACCGTGTACTAAATACAGAAAACAAAACAAAACAAACAAGAACATCTCCAAGCTGGGCGTGCTGGTACACTCCTATGATCCCAGCACTTGGGAAGCTGAGGCAGGAGGCTCACTGTGATGTCGAGGCCAGCCTAGTCTACACAGTGAGACTCTTGTCTCAAAAATCAAACAAAAATCTGCAGTGTGGTCTTCTGCGATCCCTTTGCCAGCAATTTTGTCTGTGACAGCTCAGGTGAAATGATACCCATATTAGACATCAGCTATCACTTAATACTTAATGATAAACTAGTATATGTGAACCCGCTCTTATTTCAGATTAGAATCCTCACAGTTGGTGTCCTGAAAAACCATTATACCATCGCAGCCAGGAGTGATGGCACACACCTGCGATTCCCCGCACTTGCGCTTGGGAGGCTGAGGCAGGAGGATCACTGTGAGTTCAAGACCAGCCTGAACTACGTAGTGAGACCCGTTTCAAAACTGTTTTTTGAAAGTTGCAATTGATACTACTGTCCAAAAGCAGACATTAGTACTAAAGTTTACCAAATTTAACAAAATATCCTGAAACACTTGATCTTACTGTTTTTCAGTATATTCCTATCATCACGCATGATGAAAAAGTAGATC